ACATGGGTGACTACTCGAAAGCACTTGAATTTTACGAAAAAGCACATAAAATAAAAGAAAAAGCTCTGCCTCCAAATCATCCCGAGTTGGCTATTTCCTACAACAACATCGGTCTCGTGTATAACAACATGGGTGACTACTCGAAAGCACTGGAATTTTCCGAAAAAGCACATCAAATAAAAGAAAAAGCTCTGCCTCCGAATCATCCCGAGTTGGCTATTTCCTACGGCAACATCGGTCTCGTGTATAACGACATGGGTGACTACTCGAAAGCACTTGAATTTTACGAAAAATCACTTAAAATAAGAGAAAAAGCTCTTCCTCCGAATCATCCCTCATTGGCTACTTCCTACAACAACATCGGTGCAGTGTATTTCAACATGGGTGACTACTCGAAAGCACTTGAATATTCTAAAAAGGACTTTGAAATTACAAAACAAGTTCTGCCTGAGAATCATCCAGATTCGGCTATTACATACAACTGGTTCGGAAAGATTTATCGCAGTATGAAAGATTATCCAAAAGCACTTGAGAATTTCGAAAAATGTCTCGCAATATGGCAAAAAGCCTTACCTGAAAATCATCCGGATATAGGTTTTGCATTTAGTAATATTGGTGATGTTCGTCGATTAATGGGTAATTATGAAGAGGCACTTGCATTTCATCAAAAAACATTAGATATTCAAGAAAATGTTCAATGTAATCCTCTGGAATGTGCAACGACATATATAAATTTAGGTGAAACTTATCGTGAAATGAAAGATTATTCAAAAGCATTGATATATTTCGAAAAAGGATTAGAAATACGTGAAAAGAAATTACCAAAAAATCATTCTGATTTAGCTGTTGTATATCATAATATGGCAAAATTATATTTGGCTACACGAAAATATAGTACGGCAATGAAAAATATTCAACAAGCAGTTGAAATAGCTCAAGAAAAATTACCTTCAACTGATCCTCATCTTTTGGAATATAAAGAAACATTTGAAAAAATTCGAAAGAAAATGTAATTTTTTTTTTCGTTTGTTGCTCAATAAATTGGTTTTGATTCCTTTTCACTTCCCTACTTTTCTAGGCTCATTTTCACGCGTACGCGCGACCAGGGAGAGGCCCTATGCGTATGAAACGGGTACACATAGAGCGGACCATGCCGGACTGGTAGGGCAATGTACATAGGTGTGCCGTACATAATGACGGCAGGGACCTACGTACATTAAAGGCCTTCCCGAGCACTACACTGCTTTCGCCATTCTATGACGAATAGAATATCTCTCTGGATCAGGTTACGAAGCCACCTGATAAGGCTGTGATATAAATTGGTATCTATCTTCTAGCACAAATAACATAGACTTAACATAATAATAATAGTATACACTAAATGTGTACAACAACGAAGAAAAAAATTATTTCAACCGAAATAAACCATCTATATCTTATTCTAACATTATCTCAATGTAAGTATTGTTATGAAAATTTAATTTAGAATTGTTCTTTCGACTATTGATTTATTTGTTCAAGTCTTTCTCAAGATAAATAAGATAATTTTTGAAGCAACATACCCAATCTTGTTATTGATATAAATCAATAATAAATCATATTCTTTTTTAACATTCTCATGGTTTTTATAATTTCATATAATTCATAAAAAAAAAGCAGATGAATTCTAAAAACATCATAGAATAAATTTCTATCATAAATCAATACATCCTAACATATATTATCATTGAAATCAAAAATATTGTAAAAAAATATGAATCATAATATAACATCATTGAATGAATGAATGAATTTCATTATAAATTAATGCATTGTAAAGCAATGAATTTAAATAACATCATTCAATAAATTTCATTCTAAAATAAAAGATTTTAATATAATATTATTCAATAAATATCATTGTAAGTAATGAATTTAACAACGTATAATAAATTCCATAGTAAATTAATATATTTTTATATAATATCATTCAATAAATATTATGGTAAATTCATGCATTTTAACACAATATTATACAATAAATTTCATTGTAATTTAATATAATATAATGCATCATAAACTTACATATTTCATTTTGAAATAATGTATCTTTATATAATATCATTTAATGAATATTATCGTAAATTAATGAAT